CTCTTAAAGCCTGCTGGCTGGGGGATTCTGGGAGTTGAAGTCCACCCGTTCCCCAGCCAGCATGCTTTAAGAGCGGTGGACTTCCACTCCCAGAATCCCCTATTGCAAAAGAGACCTGAGACATGGGCTTCTTTTGAACCCTCTCTTTGCCTGCAGATGGTGGCTGTACTGACCGGCCAGTTCAACAGCCTTATTGAAAACTGTGTGATTGTGGACTGTCGATACCCGTATGAATACGAAGGTGGCCACATCAAGGTTAGTTCTCCAGCTGCAGCTGAATGAGGCAGAAGCAGAAGTGGTATTCAGCTGGTTCCGACCAGTTCTAGAGAACTGGTAGTGGAAATTTTGAGTAGTTCGGAGAACCGGCCAATCCCACCTCTGACTGGCCCCGCCAACCCCATCTATTCTCTGCCTCCCGAGTCCCAGCTGATTGGCTGGGTCTTCTTTGGTTGCCCTGCAGAGGAGAATGGAGCTGCAAAGCAGGTTAGTGGGGTGGGGAGGGAATGGGGATTTTGCAGTATCCTTCCCCTACCACGCCCACCAAGCCACGCCCATAGAACCAGTAGTAAATAAAAATTGATTCCCACCACTGGGTAGAAGGGAAGATGGTAACCTCTGGACGGGCTGGCACCTGTTCCAGAAATGGGCACAACGCCTGCCTTACTCTGGGGTTCTTGAGACAAACTGGAGTTCAGGACCTATCACTCCCAGCCAGTTGATTCGGGGCAGGAGAAGCATAAAAAAATTGGTTACGGTTGTTCCAGTGGGGTGTTTCTAAAAGCCTCGAAGGACAGGAGGAATATCCTCCCCCAAGATCAGTCAGATACAGGCAGTCCTCGACTTACAATGGTTCATTTAGTGACCGTTCAAAGTTCCAATGGCACTGAAAAAAAAGGGCCCTATTGTCAGGATTCCAGCAATCGCCCTAATTAAATCATGATTCTCGAGCCAAACTTCAAAAAACTTCAAAGGATTCATTAAGAGGCGACATACTGGCACTGCCCTGTATGAAGCCAACTCTGGCATACGTCATTTACAGTCCCCCTGTGACCCTGTTTCCCCACTGGGTGTGTCATCAATCAGATTCTCCAATTGAGCATGTTCACGGGCTGGGTGTCATCAATCACATTCTCCAATTACGGGCTGGGTGTCATCAATCACATTCTCCAATTAAATATATTCGCGGGGAAAAGCTCTGGTAGTTTAGCTACAATGTTTTAAAGATAAGAGTTGGAATGTACTTCCGCTCTCCAACTGCTGCACTGCTCTTCCAGATTTCCTTTCTCCCCCCCCCCCCCCCCCCCATTTTTTATGGCAACTACTAAAAGAGGCACAGGCATGTTTTATGAGTTGACATTTATCTCCTTTTTTTCGCATTTACGACCGCTGCAGCATCCCCATGGTCACGTGATCAAAATACAGTCTCTTGGCACCTGACTCGCATTTATGACCGGGGTGTGTGTGTGTCACGTTGACCCTGGGGTCATTTGGTTTCTTTCCCCTTTTGCGACCTTCGGAGATGCAGAATCGACGGGGAAGCCGGATCTGCTCAGCAACCGCGTTGCTAGTGTCACGGCTGTAGGGATTCGCTTAACGACTCTGGCAAAAGAGGTCGCAGAATGGGGCCAAACTCACTGATCCAACTGTCTCGCTTAGCGATGAAAGGTTTGGGGCTCAGCTCAGCGGTGGTTGTAAGTTGAGGACTTCCTGTAAAGCAGGGGTCACCAACCTTTTGGACCTCAGGGACCATCAAACTCATAATTTTAAATCCCGCGGACCAGAGACCCTGGGAAAATCCCCCCAAAAGTCTGCAGGAATATCCCCCATCCCGTTTTCCTACCTGATCGATCATTCTTTATTTGGGATCGCAGGATACCGTCTCCAGCTCCATTCTCAGGGGGAGAGAGAGAGAGAGAGACTTTTGACTTCATGCAAGGAAAGCAGCAGAAGCAGCAGAAGTCTTTCTTTCTCTCCCCCAAACTCTGCCAGAAATGAGTCTTTGTGAGTCTTGTCGCGCTGGCGCAGCCTCTTGGAGCAGGAGGCCTTGCAGGGTCCCAAAGACTGTGGAGATTCTCAAGTCATCAAGGCTCAGGGTTTTCAAGACTGGTCTTTCTGGTTTTTCTTTGAAGACATTTCGCTTCTCATCCAAGGAACTTCTTCGGCTCTTGACTTCCCCACCATCCAGTCTGAGCTGAAGAAGCTTCTTGGATGAGAAGCGAAATGTCTTCAAAGAAAATTAACCAGCGGAACAGCTTTCCATTAGAAGTTGTGGGTGTTCCAACACTGGAGGTTTTTCAGAAGAGACTGGACAGTCACTTGTCTGAAATGATATAGGTTCTCCTGCTTGAACAGTGGGCTGGACTAGAAGACCTCCAAGGCCCCTTCCAGATCCTATTCTTTTTTTTATTCTATCCTATCCTATTCATCATCTAATTCTATTCCATTCCATATTTTCTTTTCTTTTTTAAATAAAGTTTTATTGTTTTTTAAGACAAACAGACAAACAAAACATAAAAACATCAAGCCATCTTCCATATATATACATACAGCGTGTCGGTTGGTTTACAAATTGTTTTGTGCTTCCATTTCATAGTCTTCAATTACAATACATTGTATATATTCTCATATTTTCAATCAAATATTAAATACATTAATATCATTGTTAATCAATCATTTGACTATACTATTATTCATTCATGTTTTACAAGATAATCCATATTTTATTTAATTTGTTTTGTGACAGTTCATATTATCATCTCAGATCTATCCTACAATCATTTTGTAGATATAATAAAAAAATACATTTTTATATATTCATTATGTTCTAAAAATCTACATATTTCATTACCATGTTTTATTGTCTAACCATTGATAGAATAGATCCCAAATTTTATAAAATGGTTTATCATTTTGTTCTCTGATTTCAAATGTCAATCTACTCATTTCAGCACATTCCAATATTTTCTTAATAATTTCCTCCTGTGATGGTACTTTCTCATTTTTCCACTTTTTTGGCAAATACAATCCTAGCTGCTGTTAATACATTTACAATCAGGTATTTCAATTCTTTACTATATATTTCAGGTAAAATTCCCAGTAAAAATATCTCTGGTTTCAAGTCTATATGCTTTTTTGTCATTTTTTCCAACCATGTGTGGATTGTAGTCCAATATCTTTTAGCATCCGTGCACGTCCACCACATATGGTAATATGAGCCAGGTGTCTAATGACATTTCCAACATTTTTCAGATTCATTCTTGAACATTCTTGCTATTCTTGTTGGGGGAAAATGCCACCTGTAAAACATCTTATACAAATTTTCTTTATATGCTGTTGACAATGTCATTTTATAGTTTTGAGAACACAATTTTTGCCATTCCTCTAGATCAATCCCATATCCAAAATTCTTTCCCCAAGCAATCATTGTTTCTTTAACTTGTTCTTCTTCTAGTTTAATTTCTAATAGATATCCATACAATTTTTAATCACCTTTTCATCAGTACCTGTCAAAATCTTATCTAAATCAGTCGATTTATCATAGTAACCTTCTGTTTTAGCATCTTTATCATACCTTGAATGTATTTGCGCATATGAAAACCAATTCATCTTTATACCTTGTTCTTCTAATTTTTGCATAGATTTAAGTTCACCCTTTTCATTCAATATTTCACCATATCTAACTGTTTGTTCCTTTTTGTATATTATAGAATAAGAAAAAGCTTCAATAGTCGATAGCCAGACTGGAATTTTCAAATAACATTGCCTTTTAGTCTTCTCCCAGTTTAACCACAGAGACTCCCGTATATGATGTCTTCTAAAATAGCCCCGTGTTTTAGTTCCCTTATACCATAGAAAAGCATGCCACCCCAACAACAAATCATGTCCTTCTAATGTCAACAATCTAGCATTTCTTAATGTTATCCATTCCTTAACCCACATTAAATTTGTAGCTTGGTAGTACAACTCCCAATTAGGCAAACCAAATCCTCCTCTTATTACTAGCATCTTGCAAAAGTTTTAATTTTACTGTCGCTTTCTTACCTTGCCATATGTATTTCAACACAATTTTATTTAAATCTTCAAAATAATCTTTTCCAAGCCTAATTGGAATTGTTTGAAACAAATATAAAATTCTGGGTAATATATTCATCTTGATTGTTGATATTCTCCCTATTAATGACAGTTGTAAATTTTCCCATTTCACCAAATCTAGCGCTATCTGCTGCTTAAGTTTAATATAGTTATTCTCTTTTAGTGTACCACATCTTGCTGTCAAATGTATCCCCAAGTACTTGATCTTATTCGTGACCTCAATTTTTAATACATCCGCCAATTCTTCCTTTTGTCTTGATAACATATTCTTTGTCAAAATCTTTGTTTTGTCTTTGTTTATTTTCAAACCAGCCACCTTCCCATATACCTCTATCTTTTCTATCAATTTTAATGCTGTTTCTAGTGGGTCTTCTAAAATAAAAACCAGATCATCTGCAAATGCTTGCAATTTAAATTCTTCTTTTTTAATTTTCATCCCTTTTATGTCCTTTTCTTCTCTAATATTTCTGTTTAGCACTTCCAAGGTTAACACAAACAACAGAGGTGATAGTGGGCACCCTTGTCTTGTTCCTTTTCTTATATCAATAGAGTCTGTCAGTTCTCCCTCTATCATTACCTTTGCCGTTTGCTTATGATATATAGCTTCTATTGCTTGAATAAGTTTTTTAGGAAAGCCCATCTGTTCCAGCTGTAATAACATGAATCGCCAATTCACATTATCAAATGCCTTCTGTGCATCTAGAAATATCAAAGCCATTTGTTTTTCAGGGTGTGCCTCATAGTATTCCAAAGTGTCCAAGATTACTCTCATATTGTCTTTAATTTGTCTCTTTAGCAGAAATCCATTTTGATCAGGATGGATGAAATTGTTTAAGTATTTTTTAAGTCTTTCTGCCAATATTGAAGCAAAAATTTTATAATCTGCATTTAGTAAGGAAATAGGTCTATAGTTCTTGATTTGTAATGGATCGGCCTCCTCTTTTGGGACAAGTGTAATATAACCTTCTGACCATAATTTAGTTATCTTCTTCTTTGACATAACTTCATTCATAACTTCTAGCAATGGAAGATTCAACGATTCTTGTAGTGTTTTATAAAATTCCGCCGGAAGTCCCTCTGGGCCCGGTGCCTTTCCATTGTTTTGCTTCTTAAGTGCTTCAGTTAACTCCATCATCGTTATATTGCTTTCTAACATTATTTCAATCTCTTTAGTTATCTGGGGTAGGTTAGCATTCTGCAAGTACTGTTTAACTCTTTCATCATCAATATTCTCTTCTCTGTATAGTTTCTCATAATAGTCTCGTATAATTTCCTTCTTCTCTTTACTTCCATAGCAAACTTGGCCTTGATCATCTATTAATTGCAATATTTTCCTTGATTCTTTTTCCTTTCTCAGTTTATATGCTAACCATCTACCTGGTTTATTTGCATCTTCAAAATAGTTCTGTTTCGCACCTCTGATTTTCTGTGCTAATTCTTCTTTTTCTATTAGTCCCATTTTATGTTTAATTATATCCATTTTTAACTTAATGTCCTTTTTCTGTGGCATTTTCTGTAACTCTTTTTCAAGTCCTTTATACTCATCCTCTAAAGTCTTAGAGGCTAGTCTTTTCGTGGTATTTCTTTTCCTTGTATAGTCTATTATCAAGCCTCTGGCATATGCCTTCATTGTATCCCATACGTTCTGCATTGATGTATCTTCTTTTTTATTTTTTTTAAAGAAAAAAGCCAGTTCTTTCTCCATCCTCTGTATGAAGTCATTTTCTTTTAATATTGTATTGTTTAACCTCCATCTAGATCTTCTTTGTCCTTTCCATTTAATTGTCATTGGATTATGATCTGCCCAAATACTTGTTTCAATATTTATTTCTTGCATATTCGCTAACAATTCTGTTGACATCCATATCGTATCTATTCTGGACCATGATAAATGTCTGTTTGAATAGAAAGTGTATTGTTTAGTCTTAGCATTTCTTTCTCTCCATGCATCTTTTAGGTTTATTTCATCTGTCATTTAAAAAAAGGATTTAAGGAGAGACTTTCTGTTTTGTTTTGTTGTTTTCTGTGTTGTATAGTCCAATTTGTTGTCTACAATTCCATTGAAATCTCCCATCATAACTATATTAGCATAGTCCAGTTCAATTATTTTCATATGTAGTTTTCTATAAAATTCTTCTTGATTGTCATTCGGGGCATAGATTGCAATCAGGAGTGTTTTCATGTTATTGTCCATTATTTCCACCATTAATATTCTTCCATCATCATCTGTATCAATCAATTTCGCTGGGATAATATCTTTAATGTATAAAACCACTCCTCTTTTCTTGCATTGTGTCAAAGAAGTAAATATTTTCCCTAACTTTGGCTGTATCAACAGTTGTTCATGTTGCTTTTTAATATGTACTACTTGTAGGCAGATTATATCAAATTTTAATTTCTCTAATTTATGAAAAGTTTTCCTTCTTTTAGCAGCTGAATTAAGTCCATTTATGTTAATTGTAATCAGCTTTTTCTCTTCCATGGTTATATTTTGTAGTTAGGTTTAGCAGCTCTTGTAGATCTTGGTTCATGTTGTTCCTTAACTTCTACCTTTCTGCCTACTGCACCTTCTTTTTTAGTCGCTATTTGGCAATCCTCTTGGAATTCAATTAGTGACATTTCTTTTTCTGTCTCCTCCACTCTCCCACTAAAGTATTCAGTATAAAACGATTCAGCTTTCTCAATTGAGTCAATTCTGTGTCTCTGTTCTTGCCATGTGAACATTAAACCTTCTGGAATCAGCCATCTATAATTCACCTCTTTTTTAAGTAGGATTTTAGTCAGGAATCGGTATTCTCTTCTCATTTCTCTCACTCTTCTAGGCACTTGTTTCAGGACTACAATCTCCTTATCTTTATATTTCAATGTTTTCTCTCTTGCCACCTGTAATATTTGTGTTTTAATGGCTTTCTTTGTAAATCTGATGTGAACTTCTCTTGGTAAGCTATTTCTCATTGCATATCTTGTGAAGACTCGAAAAACCTCGTCTACTCCATCCATCATCTTCTCTTTGGTTATTTCCAGAGCTTCAGCCAAGATTTCTATCATTATCTCAGCTAGGTTTTGTCTCTTTTCTTCCTCTATGTTTTGAAATCTGAGATAAAATTCTGATCTATCCATCTCCCATCTCAACATCCCACTTTTATCTTGTTCAGCCACTGTTAATCTGTCATCAATATCTCCAATCTTTTTATCTCTTTGTTTATCTTCTTCAATTTTTTTGAATTTCTCATCATACTTCATCATTTGTTGAATATTCTCCAGCTTTTCATCAGTTTTTTTCTATTCTCCTTTCAATATTCTCTGTTCTTGTATGCTTTGAATTCCTTGCATTATCATCTGCAATGTCACCTTTTACTGTTCTTTTTCTTGCTGTAACATCGTCTGTATTGAGCGTTGTCCTCTAGATGGTGAAGAGGAAGAAGTAGGAATTGAAGAACCAGACACTGTTAATTTCCTGCTCATTTTGGACAATTCAAAATCTTGAGGTTCTTCTAAACCTTAATCCACTCGTGAAATAGCCAATTGTAAATCCAAGTAAAAATAGTGGAAAAGAAGAAACAAGATAGAAAAAAACAGATTTCTTCAGGTTCTTGTATACATTAGTCCAATCGCTTAGTTAAATAGCAGTAAAAGCTCAAAAAAGGAAGAAAAAAAACCCCCATAAACAGAGAAAGGAAAAAATTGTTAAATTGTAAAAGGCAGAAAAATAAAAAGTAAAAAACTAAAAAGGAAAAGGAATTTCTTCAGGTTCTTCAACACCTTAATCCAGTTAGAAAGTCTCAGGTATGAAAAAGTATACAAAAAAAAAGGAAGCCACCAAAAAAAAACAAAAAAACCCAATATGGAGGGTAGATAAAAAATACAGGAGAGGGAGAGAGAGAAAAACAAAAAACCTACTCCCTTAAGAAAAAAAGAAGGAAAACATTAATACTAAGGCTTTTCCTTTAAAATAGAATGCAAAAGTAAAAATTAGGCTCCAAAAGCAAAAAGAAAGACAAAAGCAGGTTCCAAGAGTCCAGAGATCCAAATAACTATTAGAAATAATAAGCTGATAAGGAGGGGGTGTGAGGAATAGCCCAACTTAAAAAAGAGAAAAAGAAGACACTGCTCCTATTTAGTTATCCAAGGCTTTTGTTAATTTTTATAGCTCTCTTCTCTAGAATCTTATCTTTTTTTCTGTATACTTCAACACCAGACTCCAGCTACTGATAGAAATCCAGAAGAGCACCTGCAATAACACTCTCCCATGCTCTTCCCTCTATCTTATCAGACAGGCTCAAAGTCCTTCAAAAGAAGTCTCAGTTCTTTCTCAGCTTTGTCTGGTCGAAAGAGAAAAAAAGAGAAACAATATTTCTAAGCCTCTAGTTGGCAGTGTAACCAAATTTCCTCTGTTTTCACTTTCCCCCTCCTTTTCCAAACAAATTATTATAAAAAAGTTAATTAAAAAGTAAAAAGGGTTTTTTAAAAAAAAGGCTAAAAGGGGATCTCTAGCCTAAAATATTGTAAAGACAAAAAGGACAAGAAACAAAAATGAAAAATAAGATATAAAAAAAAGAACCAATCCAGTTCAAAGTAAAAAATCGTATAGAAAGAGTCCAGCAAAAAAAAAAAAAAAAAGAAAAAATTAATTTGACTTCCCGTTTAAAATCGCCGCTTAATTACTTCTGTCTGAGATTTTACAGATTCTTTCTTTTCCTTAGGGTGTCCTTTCAAATCTTAAAGTAAAGAAAAAATTCTCACCAAACCGGCACACTCTCTCTTTCCGTTCTCTTCCGTTTCGGAGCTGTCCCAACTTCAGCAGCTTTAATGGCTGCCTCTTTGCCGCTGGCAAAAAGAGCTTCTCCTGGATCTACCGGGGACTTTGCGGTATCCCTGGGATCGACAGGATGCGCCCTTCACTATCACCGTCTCTTCGGGACGGTTTAGATCCGTTTGGATCGTCCAGGAGCAGATATCGGCAGCGATCTCAGACCTCCAAGATCGCATGCCATATCGTCGAGACACCAGCTCCACCCCCCCATTCCATATTTTCTATTCTATTCCATTCCATTCCATATTTTCTATTCCATTCCATTCCATATTTTCTGTTTCAGTCCATTCCATTCCATGTTTTCTATTCTATTCCATATTTTCTATTCTATTCTATTCCATTCCATATTTTGTATTCCATTCCATTCCATTCCATATTTTTTATTCTATTCCATTCCATTCCGTATTTTCTATTCCATTCCATATTTTCTATTCTATTCCATTCCATTCCATATTTTCTATTCCATTCCATTCCATATTTTCTGTTTCAGTCCATTCCATTCCATATTTTCTATTCTATTCCATATTTTCTATTCTATTCCATTCTGTATTTTCTATTCTATTCCATTCTGTATTTTCTATTCCATTCCATTCCATATTTTCCATTCCATTCCATATTTTCTATTCCATTCCATTCCATATTTTCTATTTCAGTCCATTCCATTCTGTATTTTCTATTCCATTCCATATTTTCTATTCTATTCCATTCTATTCCATTCCATTCATTCCATTTTATTCTCCTGGTGGGGAAAGGGACAGAAAAGGCAACCTGCCATGCTGGTTGGTGTGTAGATTCGCCCTCCCGAATCCCGTTTGCGATACTGTTCGGCCGTAAACCTTCCCTTTCCTTATGTGGGGAGGGGAGGGGGACGCGAATATTTGGGAGAGAAAGAAAAAAAATGCTGAGTGTTGCAGTCCACGAGTCATTAAGACTCCCCGTTTCCCCCTCTACCCCCCAGTCTATTTAAACTGTTTTGGGGGAGCAGCTTCGTAAACGAGGAACCCCTTCTGCTTGGTTTTTGCAGGGTGCTGTGAACCTCCCCCTGGAGAAGGACGTGGAAGACTTCCTTCTCAAGAAGCCCATCGTGCCCGCCGATGCTGCCAAACGGATCATTGTGGTTTTCCACTGCGAGTTCTCGTCGGAAAGAGGGCCCCGGATGTAAGTCTTCCCTCCCGCCCGCTTGTTTTGGGGACCCGACTCATCACTCCGGTTGCACCCCCTGAGGCTCGAAGGCCAACAAGCTGTTGGGAAGAGCAACCATTGCCCGGGGGAATCTCCGCAGGGCGTGCTCAGCCACCACCACCTCCTCCTCCCACCGAGGTGCCATCTTTCGCCTTACAAAAGCTGAGCTGGCATTGTGCTGTTCCTGTTGTGGCCTGTCGG